CTTACCAGAAAAAAAAAACTACCAAGAAACATTTCCTTCTGCAATCAACAGTGGGCAACTACTGCAATAAGTGACAGGTTATGATCTAGCCTGTAGGAGATAAGTGCATGGATATCACATGTCTCTTAGGATAATATATTGTTTGCAGATCATTTCTGACCTTGACCCAGATTTATCATTTTTATGATTTCTTATCGTGTATGAAGACGGATTATAGGAAACCATTTTTATGGCACCTTACTTATATCGGTCACATTTCACAGTAACCACCTTGCAGTCAAAGATCATAAAACAAATTACAGCAAGCTCACTAGCTTTTTACTGTTGGAAATATTCAGTAATCTAATATAAAAGCCACAACATTCACAGTTTATGTTCCGGTAAGTTTGAATGCAACTTTCTCACAGGTGACACAGAAAAAAGAAACAGAAACCGGTGTTGATAAAATCTGTTCTATGAGAAGCTCTATCTCCAGTACGCAGGCAGCCAAACAGCAGGGAAGATAATGTGTGCTCCTATGGTCATGAATGTCAGTCCTAAAGCACATGTGCTATGGAGGAAACCAAGCCAGGCAGGCTCCACTGAATTTATTTCTGTTGGCTGACAGGCAAAGAACAAATCATTCCCTTGTTTCTTCTCACGTCAATTCTGGAACAGAATAAAAGAAGCAAATGCGGCATTTCATCTTGCTTGAAAAGTGTAGAAACATGAGATCAGGAAGGAAGGACTTAGGAAGCCAGCTGCATGTTGTAGAGCCCCGGAGGCAGGCTCTTTTGTCTATCCCTTTCTCAATGGACTTTTGCTTTTAGAGTCAGGTTTTCTGCCACTTCTCAGGGAATATCTCCCATACTTTTTCTGTTCTCATCGTTAGAAATCTTTTCCTCATATCTGTCTTGTTTCAGTCTTAAAACTGCTTTCATGTCTGTCATGGACATAGAGGTGAGATTTATTCATTTCCTGTTTTCAAAAGTCTCTCACATATTTGAAGACTGTCATGTCAGCGTAAGTCGTTTTTTTGTTAGACCACATTGTGCTGGCTCTTTTCACTAACCTTCACAGAGCTTTTTGTCCTCCTCCTGATTTTTCCCAGCTCTGGATGTAGCTCTCTAGCTCTCACTGGTGCTGGATAGTGGGGAAGATTGTCTCACACATTACGTGTACCATTCTGTGGTCTGTACATTCTCTGCGGCATTTGCCTCTTTCACAACAGTGCACTGTTGACTCATTTGTAGCCTGACCCAATATAAACTCTGTTTTCATCTTCTTCCACCTAAACTAATTTTCCTAGTCTGTGACGGCATCTGGTAAGACATGGAAAATCTTACTGAAGTCAGAATACAACCAACTGCTTCTGCCATGTGCAGAAGTTTGCTGATGTTCACTGAGAGGAATTCAATCATTTTGTTAATGCATTGATATTCTGCAGCTGAATGTTAGTTTCTCTACATCATTTTGAAAGCTAAAAACTTTATGAGTGAAGTACACACTCAAAAAGCCTGCCTGCTCCCTTCCCAGCACAGTGCTTGCACATTTGGGCCCTATTTCTACATTTCTTGAAGAAAGTGTAGTTGGAGTGCTGTGCTTGCATTAAACCCTTGATCACCCCCCATAAAAGTAGACTTTTTACCCCCTTCTAGACATTGGTATGAATTATAGCAAGTCTATAGTTAAGAGGTTTTTCACAAGTAAGCTTTTCACAAGTTCTATCTATGTGATGCAAGTTCTTCCATCACGTTATCAGCAACTTGCTTTTAGACTTTGCTGTCATTGAGACCTGGATGTTTCACATCAGGAAAGGCCATATAAAGGAAATTCGAACTTTCCAACATGTTTCCATATCCCTTCACACTCATGAGATTGCAGAAAGACTCTTATGTTCAGCTCTTGCTCTTTTCTTCTGACCCTCCTCACACACTTGAGATCTACTGGGAGGTTTGTTTTGGGGCAGGCATAATTTTGTGTATCAAAACTGCTGAATATTTTAAATGCATGAGAAAACTCAGGTAAATAAAAACACCGGTATCTGGTCAGAAGAGTGCATTAGCTTTTGAAAGGCAGAGGGGTCATCATTTGCAACAACCAGCCTCCAGAATGTGAGAAGTCTGCTGTCAACTTGTTATTTTTTACAGTCTATTTTTACTACCAAGTGTCTTCACAACACCTAGCCATAATATATCTCCAACTTCCTTCTTTATAGATAATTCTTCATAATGATCAACAAGTTGTGCTTGATTAGGATGAGATTCAGAGCCTCGTTGTATCAACAGTTACATCAGCATGTCTGAAAATGTAATCCATGTTCAGAGCTCCAGATGTGATTTACATGGTGTTGGTAGCTATGTTACCCAAACAGGTCTGTAAAGAAAGTCCATGTTTGGAGAACCAGCAGTCTGGTTTTACAAAGTACATTGTAAACAAGAGGTGCTGGAAGAAAGGAGTAGAAATGAGAGATGATATATAAGTTACACAATGTCTGTCAATGGGAAGATGGAAGAGCTGAGGTGTTAAACATTCTTTGGTCTGGTGCTGTTGCCAGTGTGTAGTCCTAACACCAGTGAATGGACATCAATGCTGATGGAGTCAGGACTTCCTCCGTAACGCTTCCCCAGCGTTATCTCATTTTTCTTTTTGATATCGTTATCTTTCTGTACCTTCAGCCCTTTACAGTAATTACTTGAAAGCATTGGTATTAACTCAAAGGAATACAAGAGGAAAATTGGAAAAGATTCTGTACTAGGTGTACAAGTGAGTAACTTCCAGTCTATTGACACACCTGTTGGTTTTTCAGAGTGCTTTCTGTACAAGCTGTGGAAGAAATAGCTATTTTTACCTTTCTTTCTCATGATAGTGCAATATCAAGGGAAGGGGCCTTGGTTTGCACAGATACTCCATACCACTTACTCAATAACATGATTAACAGTAAACTAAATATGCTTAGCAACGTAATTTCCCATACCGCCTCAGAAACAAACTTAGTACCACAAATTCTTGTACTTAATCTCTTGTTGGATGTAGAGTTAAAGCTTCTGAAAGCCCTTCCAGCAATACTGTTCAGTTGGAGTCTCTCTGGCCAGGCAGCACGTGTGGATTTGCACTCTCCAGCCAGCCTGCCTTTGCTGGTGCCTAAGGAACCTGCATGGGGAGAAGATGCTGAAGCTACCAAACACAGAAAGAAAGTGAGCAATGGCTGATCTCATCCCTCATCGTCTGGGTTGGGTTCTGCTCTTTTCTGTGATCAGTCTTGTTCACCAGAAGCTCTTCTTTTGTTTTCCCTACTTCTCCATTCCTTAGTCATTCTTCTCTTGCTATTTTTTTTAATTATTTCCCTTTCTCCAAAGTAGTCTGTTCTACTTTGTCAAAATCCTGGCAGACTTAACAGCAAGCTCCTTATCTTGCAGTTTAAATCATAAACACCTGAATTAGAAGTGCAGTTATTTTATTGTTTCGCTTTCATCATACTCACCACAAGCTAAGCTCATTTAGATTGTTGGTCTCTGAAGAGGCACAGAGGGCTCTTACAGAGAAGGATCTCATGCCATTGCCTTCCAAAGGAGCTACTGATGTGGTGGAACTTGAGGGTTGGCTTTGTGAGACAAGGTCCAGAGTTTCTAGATATATCACCCCTTGTCACTTTGTCCTTTAGTCTAATTGTGACTGGGCCTTAGCTGGAACAGCCTGCCATACCCGAGTAAAGCTGCTTAGAAAAGTGTGAGTGAAAGCTGGAGGCATGAATGGCTTAGCTTGGATTTAGCCAGGATAATTATAAATGAGGTGAACAGACATGTCAGAAATGAAAAGTCAGAAGTAAAAAATGAGCTGGGCTTTCCCTTTTTGTAGTGCTGTGAATTCTTCACATCCTAGTTGCACAGCTCTGTCTTCGTCCTTTATATTGTGTGGCTGAAATTTAACCAAAATGTCCTTCGAATTACACAAAAAGAATATGGTTTGCCCCAACAGGTTCCTTGACCTGTTATCTGTGTTATCTGTTGGAGCTACACTTGTGAACACTCCACCTTTATCACAGGTGAATTCTCAATGAGTGCTGTGTGTGGGAGCTGTGAAGTACAAATCATCACAGCCTTTTTAGCCATAAACCCTGGTATGGTGTCAGAAGAGTCAAATTTAGCAAAGAAACTAGAAGTCATCCAAGGACTTTCTGGAAACCCCCATGAACCACAGAGATGTAGAGTTGAGGAATTCACTCCTCTTGCATGCTAACCAAGGCGCAGCTGGACTATGAATATATTTTTCATCTTGGAGTCAATCACATAAAGGATTTTGATGGTGACACAGACAGCGAGTGAAAGGCAGCCCCATGGGACCTTACAGCAGCTGTTTCTTTGAGGACAGCATGTTCCATATCAAAGCAAAGTTAACCAAGGTTATCAAGACAAATGCTTCCTTTCCCTGCTTTGAATTCGTTGAAAGAGGAACAATCCCTCTCCTCTCCTCGTGATACAACAACAACTGTGTCAGTAGAGACACAAGGGGAAACACTTCCTCTTTTTAAATGGGAAAAGCCAAACTCTCAAGATTTCAGAAACAATGTTCTTGAACAGATTCTTGCTGCCTTAATCTAAAGAGACTGTATTTCTGAATAGCCAAAGTTTTTATTTTTAAGTTGGGCTTGCCAATGAATCTGTGATCAAGTGGCAGAGCACAGTGCCTTATCTGTGCCCTCATCATAATTCATTGTTTTCAGCTGCTTCTAATAGACAAGAACTTCATGTTTTTCCATGAAAATCAGCAGTCAGAGAGAAAGGGCCTTCCCTAATGGCCTGAGCAAAGGGCAGGGAAATGTCAGCCTTATTCTGATGTCAGCTGGCCAGTCCACTGCTGGCATAAGAGCTATGCTATGTCATTTTTGCTTTTGAGAAAAAAACAAAACAAACAAAAAAACCCAACCAAACAATGTACAGAAGTTGAAGAAGCTGCTAATATGGAAGGAGGTGCATTTTTATGGTGCAGAGGCAAGCCAAGTATGCCACACAAAATGTCTGAAAAAACAGAGCAAAAGTGCCTTCTCACATTTCCATATCCCAAATGGTTCATTAAAACAAAAGGTGATGGAAATTGGAAAGTACAGGAAAAGCTAATCCAAACTACATGTGACTACCCTGTACAAGGAATCAGCGCCTGTTCTCATGGTTCTTTCTGCAATGCATGCTAGCAAGCCTCAAGACTGTAACCCCAAACATTGTCATTTCCACATGAGGTTACACGGTTTCATTTGTAACAAGTCACTTCTGCTGACTGCATTTTTCGTTGTCAATTGAATGCAATAATACATGCACCAAAAAAATTGCATCGCTCAAAGGGTTAGAGCGCAGTGCAAAGGTCCCGCTTGACGACAGTGGTGTGGACATAACCTTCGCACAAATAAACAGGTCTATAAACCTCAGGTAGCATTACATAGCATGTCATAGCATGTCACAAACAGCTGGTTCCAATTTTTATTTTTATACTGAGAATATGTATCAATAGGTAAATAAAATGAACTTTTAAATCTCTCTTTAACTGTAAAGTTTTCCACAGAGTTCAGTCGACTCTGGATGAGGTAGGTAAACTTCAGTAAGCCATGGAAACTGCAGGGCAGAAGCTCAGGGGACTGAGCAACACCTGAACACAGAGGACTGCCTGGCAGTGCAGTGCTATGTTCCTGTTTTCCTCAGCAAGGATGAATAAGACCTTGCAATGCAAATCACACTGAATATTAATGTTTGGTTTATTATGATGGTACATTACTCACTGTGAATAACTCCAGAGTTCTGCATCAGATTAAAAAAAAAACAAAACAAAAACAATAAAAAGATTACGTTGCTATGGATATCTTAAATATACACACTTTCTCATTATAAAAATAAGTCTGGTTGGCTCTTTCTTTGCAAAATGTAATTTTGCTGTAAAAACCTTATACAGCATGCCATTGTGACTAGCTGTTGCAATAAATAGTTCAACCAAGCTAAATTAGCTAGTATCATATTTCTGATATTTGCTTTTTCAATTAATGGCATAGTATAGCCAGAGTATTGCTACAACTTCCCAGCGAGCCACTAAAAACAGTGGCAAAAAATTATGTATCATTTACTTTCACAGCCATCAGTGAGTGTCTTGGACTTTAAAAAACAACGTTTGAAGTCTGTGCTGAGTTTCAAATATGAATTTCCCTAAGAACGCAGCAATAAGAGAAACTTAACAACCTTTGCTTTTCTTTCAACGTGACTGAAGTGGGAGGAGTGTTTAGTCCCTTTCCAAAGGTGATAGAATTTCTGAATCAGAAACTTCTTGTTTGGAGTCCCGATGGTATTCTGTTGTTTCGCTGGCCTCTTCCACAGTTTCATCACTTTGACTTTTAGGTTCTTCTGAAATGACAGTGAGCCAATCATGAAAATGATGTTCTTCTTGTGGAACTGGAGAAATGAACTGCGAACCACTAGGAGGCTTGCTCAAAAACTGTGAAGGAAAGAGGAAATGAGAGGTAAGCTGCACCAGCCATTCCATCCTGCTTGCTTAGAAATATGCTTTATATTGTTTTCCACACAAGCTAGCTTTCTTAGTCCATAGAAGTCCTTTAGAGTGCTGACAATAGAGCAACCTCTTCTCCCCTTGCAAACCAGAAGTGCCTTTATTTGTATGAACCAACCCCATGGCAAGCAACTTCTGTGGAACATAAACTTACTTTCTTTATAAAAACCAACCTCCTAGGTTTTGTTTGGGAAGAAAAATGATGATGATTTTGCTGCAGGTGAAGGAGCCCACAGAGATTTGTAGAATAGCTTCAAGAGACACAAATCATCTGAACCATCTCAGAGAGATGTTAGCTTGATACATTGAATAGTGCTGTTTTAAATGTCAATATAAAACATAACTACTGGGTAAAGGATAGGGAGGGAGATCTGCAGAGCTATGCCTACATAGCAGTTGAGCTCCAGGTTCAGCAACTGCTGAGTGCTGAGCATATGCTTAACTTACAGTACAAGGTGATTGTTAGGCCTACTACAAAGCTTTAGAGTGCCAAATCCTGAAGGAGGCAAAATGGAAGGCTGAAGAAATACTTCAGGAAATTTAGAGCAGTATAAGTTAGCAACTTTAGCACCTACAACATTTTGCATAACCTTGTTCCTTAGAGATTCTGATTTAGCATAACTGATTTAAAGTTGCTGCATGGGTAACAAAGTCATTGCTGGAAGCAATGGCTTATTTTATCCCAAGTCTTCAGATTTCACTAAATTCTTTGCTTAAGTTGAGTTTTAGTATATTTGTGTAATAACCATTTCAGGAGAGGTGTACAATCTGAAGTGAAAAATGAGAAAGTGGAGACAGATCTCAGCTGCTCGCTATATTAAGAGGAACCATGGGTTAACACCTGCTATTCTCTGACTTCAAAATGCAAAACATCCTGTTTCTAAGCCACAGAAAGCCTCATATTACAGATTATATAATTGCTTTAGGAGTAAAAGTCTATGCCAATTTTTTTAATTATCCAACCTTTAAGTATTTTAGACCATCCTGTTGCAGAGCAATTCAGAATTACAGCATTTTAAAGTTTATTTTACACCAGTATTCTTCAAAAGGAAGTCTGATTTCAACACTATGTTTATATCCATGCAGAATTCGATAAAGAAAATGAAGTAAAATTAATGCAAAATTTATAACCTTTAAGTGTCTGAAACTAAGCATGAAATGAACCAATTTCCACCACCACGCTCCTGCAGAAATGTACCTTCTTTTGTCAGCTTTTCCCAAAGTTCACAACTTCATCACTCGTGCTTAGTTGAATAAATTGTCTGTAGTTCACATATGGCAGAAGAGCAAGAGCTACCATACACAATAGATATACACTAGCAGACAGCAGAATGAGTTCTTCAGAGCACCTACCAATAACCAGCACTGTCCTTTATCATCTACAAGCCTCCCAGATGGCGGACAACCAGGAGCAAAGGAAGAACGCAAAATCAAATGAAAAGGTTTGGCTGCAGAGAAGCTTTGAGAAGCAAAGAGTTGTACTGAAAAGGCTGATTTTAATTGTGGTAGGGAGGGAACAAACCTCTTTCAAGTGTTGTGGGAAAATATATGAAGGGCAGAAAACATGCTTGGTGAGCCGGTACAGGTACCAAAAGGAAATGAAACAAATAGGAACAGATATTATAACAGCCAGCATTGATCCTAGAAGAACAATCACGACTATCCACACAGGAGTTACACCTGCAAAGACACAAAGAAAAATACATTAAAACTGCAATTACTAATTCTATACATGCTCGTCAAATAATCACTTTCCCAATGGAATTATAAAAAAACAACCTGTCTTAATAGGCTGAGAAGGTTCTCAATAAACTGCATTTAAAAATTATTAGATTTAGAAATTTATAGTTACACTGCTACATGATTCTGCATGCAACACTAAGTGAAAGATGAATGTGGTCATGCACGGGATGATATGTGAGAAGAAAGCTCTTGTATACATTTTTTTATATTCTTGGGGTGTAGGAGTTGATACTGCCAGAGTGTAGGGATTCATTTTTCTCTTAAGGATACATGTAACAATGGCAGCAAAGTAAAGACACAGGACAAAACCCTGTAGGCTTCCAAAACACTGAGACTTTGAGAAAATTTGTGTCCATGCATGGATTTCACAACAGGTGATGGGAACAACGTAGCCATGCAACACTGAAAATATTTTACATCGCGATTGCTAAGTGCTGCTTTAGCAACAGATGAACAAGCAACACCACCACCTAAACTCATCTGCAATTCAACTGCAGTGCATGCAGATAACATACAGGTAGGAAAAATATTTAGGACATTTTTAAGAGTAACAGGTTAGGTTCCCAAAGATGGTTTCCTCTCCTCATTAACTTGTGTCTCTGCCTGAAGAGAAGCTGTAAGTTACCTGAAGTACACATTATGTCTATGAAAAAGACATCGTGTAGTGTTCCATTCTCTCTTTTTAACTGATCTTCTATCCTAAATCTCCCTGATGAGATGGCAGGGTCCAACCATACAGATTGCGGGATTCCCTGGGCAGCAGCTAAGGTGGCATGGCTGGAAGTGAATGTGTTTTTGGTGCCTAACTGCCTTAAAAATGAAAAGCAATTTGTTTTTATCATCAGTTAACAACTACTGTGCTTTACACAGAAAACACGCAGTGTATTTTCAGAAAATACACTGTGGCCTCATGGCAGACATTGGCCACAGCATCACAGATGGAGCAGTCCAATTCCTTTCTCAGATTTATGGAACAAAAGCTTTTGTACAACAGTGAGTACAGCTAACAGTGAGTACAGCTCATAGTAACTGGAATTCAGAAACATAACGGTGATCAGTAAAGGGCCTGTACTTCACTTAACTCTTATTTTCAAAGTCTGAGCAATGTAGAAGCTTCTGCAGTGAAGGGATTGTGATCAGAGCCATACTCGTTGTAGCTTTTAGTTTTTACCCCCTCAGTTCCAAAGGTGCACGTGTCACCAAATAATACTAAACTAATCAACACATCAGTTTTTGGAAGGCTTACACATTACACGGATTTTCACTTTGGATGCCTTTGTACATTTCCTAATTGAACACCATGTTTATAACATTCTGATGCTGCAGATCTTACCATTATGACTGGTCTGCTCACAAAGCTCTTGACTCAGTTCTCCTGTTTTGTTCCACTCAGGAATAACCCCTTGCACTTGAATACAGTATATGGTCCACGGCTCCAACTGAGATAATATTTCAGAGTTATGCTTAGTATCTATGTGAATTACCTAATAAAAGAGAAGGATACAAAATAAATGCAAAGCATGAGTTCAGTGAATGTACAAAGTAATTTAAATGGCAGTAGGACAAATCCTAGCAGTTACAGCTGCTATGTGAATCAGGCTTTTAAAGGCAGAATGAAACGCCTTACCAGTGTCAAACAACTGATAACTCTCACTGATTTCATCTCTGGTTGGAATGGGAGATCACTCATACCACTGCCTTTGTCTGCCTCTAGCTGCATTAGTGAAGCTGTGGTCTAAAGAGCCCTACAGAGATGTGATTAATGGGATGCTTGCAGAGAGAAAGAATTGCCTTGCCAGATGAGATCACCTGAGAATGCTGTTACAGACAAACATCACTTAGTTCCAGAGCCAGTATGATGGAAGATCTAGACAAAATTTAAAAGATAGAGAAATAAAAAGGATTGTTGAATTATTAGATGATAGACAATGATGCAATTTGCTCTTTGCAGGCATGGTTGGTTATGTTTCTTTAGTTACCTATATGGTCCCTGCAAAATACAGCAACTCCTATGACTTGGCTCAGTATGTAATAAAAACGGACTCTTAGGGCTGAGAAGACTTTCTAGTAAGTATTCAAGATTTTGAGCAGGCCTCCACTTCAGAAGAACAGCCTATGAAATTACGCAGTCTGTCCTTTTGACTCTTTGATCCTGTTGGGAAATTTCTAAGACCAAACACTGAAGAGTTACAAGCACAGACTCTAACTGAAGTTCCCACTTTCTCTGGTAAATGGTCTAAGTTTGTGGCTCATACGCAAAACCACCTTTGTTTCTTGTAACTGGGGAACTGAAAAGCATGTATTGTTTGGGAGCTAATGATCCTTAATTTTCTGGAATTGAATGCCAAGGAGTTTTGCACAGTAAAACACACATTAGAATTATATGTAATGGAGTCCTACTAGATGAAAACTGTAGTGACGTACCAAACCCTTCCAGTAAAGTGCTTCCTTCTTTTCCTGTAATGGAATTTATGACCCTAAATATTTAATTAATCATTTATGATCTTTAACCAGTTCTCTAAGGAGAGGCCTTTTGAGCTGAGCGACACATCTGCCTGAGGAAAAGGCTGTCCACCAAAGAAAGCAGGATGAAATAGAAAGCAATGAGGTGAAAAGATGATCACAGGAACAGAAAGCCCCGGCCACGGTGGTGTGAAAGCTCAGTGTTCCACAAAGAGCATAAACTAAAGCAACGACACGAGATTTGAATCTAAGTCAGCTTATCACCATGTTCGTAGATACCACTGATGTCACAGCTTCTAAGTATTCCCTTGCCTGTGTGTGTGAAATACACAGACTTGGTGGGAAGACTGCACCACAAATCAAAGCATCACTTCCTGAGGGAATAAAGTCTTATAACGTAGCAGTTATTTCTAATTAAAGAAGGAGCAAATCATCTCTGCGCTACTGTTTAGCTACGCAACTGTCTGCCATTTTGCTCTGAATACCAGTTGTACTCACTAGGCTTCATTCTCTAATTGGTAGTGATACAGTTTTATTCCAATACTGTTATTTTGTTGAAACTTCATATCAACACAGCATTTTACCATGAAAACCCTATACCAAAGTCAGGGAGTCACAACATCCTGGAGGCAGAAGTTACCTTTTTATTGCCACCCTTCTTCCAGTAGTGTATTCGGTAGTTCCATGAGCCGTAATATTGCTTAAGGGACCACTTGTCATGCTCATGGTCAGCAGCTGGGCCTGTAAAGTCCACGTGCAAAGTCCCCGACTCAGACTTCACATTCACACTGGGTGGCCCAATGACTGCTGTATGGAAGAGAAGAAAGAGCAGAATTCAGTTTTGTGTTGTTTTCATGTTGAATTTTTACATAAACTGTGATAATTCATGCTTTAAATCTTTTTATGTATTAGAAGAAAGTAATTTTCTGTCCTGAGTCAGGCATAAATAAACCCTTTCTTAATAGAAAGGCTCTTCAAAGACATTTGTTTTTGCAGTTAACATATTCAATTCACTCAGTTCTCTTTTTCCAGCTGCGGGCACCCTTGGGGAGGAAGGACTATTTCCATGGGTTATTGCTCACTTCTCCTCCTGAGATGCACTGTTGCAACATCTGTCATCTGAGACCTTCCAGTGAAGCATCTCAATGTTTTTTTCACTGTGATTGTTTTGACAAACTGAAACATTTTTATTACTTCTGTGCATCTTGATTGAGCTCCTTAGGTTAAATATTGTATTTCAAAAATGGCCTGTCTTTATCAGGTTTTTGTGCCACCACCTAATTTCATGAGTAGCTGAGTTGTCAACAACATTACATGCTGTGAGCTCCCCATTAAAGCCTCCTCTAATTCCAGCAGCACAACTCTGCCTTAGCTGCCTGTAATAAAGTTTGACCTACCTACAGTCACACTATAAAGTGTCTAGGAAAGGAAAAGCTCAATATACAGATAATTCTGCATTGAGAGATATGTATTTAATAAAACACTTTTTCTTTTCTGAACCATGGATTCATGTAATGCTCATTAATTTGTTTGTTTTTGAACTTGTGAAAAATAACATGAGGAAGGCTCCATTACTCTCATCTTCTTAAGCTGTTTCTACAGTTAAACATGGAATTTCTTTTAGAAAAAAATAAAATATACACCACCAGAAATGGTAACACAGAGAGGCATTCAGGTATTTTTTATCAAGGTGCCTTGCTCAGATCAGCTATGACCACCTTAAAAATCTCCATGTCTTCTCCAGAGATTTGGCCCAGGTAGTACCCCCAGGTCCTTCTACCCAGATTTTCTCAATTCAGGCCTAAAGTGCCTCTCTAAAGCCAAGCCTGCACTGAAGATTACATTTTCTTTCAAACGTACATCAAACTACAACTTTATTAATGCTTTACATGTTTGTTCTCTGCTCTGATAACCCGTCCATACTTTTTGTATTACACTTTCTTTTGGCTGTAATTTGCATTTGCCATACATGTCCAATCTGCTAGTTTTATGGGATTTTTTTGTTGTTGTTGCCTCCTTAATTTTATGCTTATATAGAAATGTATGTTTATAAAAAGAAGTTTTGCTACTTCTATACATTATCTATATTACATATTTTATGTGTGGCCCACGACAATTGTTGTTCACTCAATGCAACCTAGGCAAGCTAAAAGGTTGGACACCCACATTATTTGCAATGTTGTATTTTGTTTATTGTGCTGTGTTCCTGCACTTCTGTTCTGGGCAGATTAAGTTACATCAACATTATGCTTTTGGAGAGATAACTAATAGAAATGTTTAGAAAAACAAAGCTGTAAGATTCTCTGAAATCCAAGGAAGAGAATGCTGAAATTAAGCAAATGAAGACTGAGCAAGAAAGAAAGGATTTTAAGAAGTATTTCTCAAATGTGAGATTTGGTATTAAGAGCTGTGAGGAAAAAAATGTCTTGGGTAACATTAATTACATGGTCTAAAACAAGTTGATTTTGCTTATGAGCAGAGGAGGAATGTAAGAAATAAAGGTTCTTATTGGTAAAACTCACTCCCACGTTCCAGTGCTCAGATAAGATATTCATAATTACAGCTGGACCAGGTGACAGCTCTATGAGAGTGGTGAGGTGCTGGCACGAGCTGCCCAGAGAGGCTGTGGATGCCCTGTCCCTGGAGGCCAGGGGATCAATCAAGGCCAGATTGGATGGGGCCCTGCATGTGGTAGGGGGTTGGAGATTCATGATCCTTGAGGTCCCTTCCAACCTGGGCCATTCTGTGGTTCTCAGAGGTCTTCAACCTTAAATGATTCTACGATTGATATCTCTGCTGTACACAATCATATAGGTCAATATCTTTCACAAAGGCTGTAAAGCTTCACTAACAGAATGACAGTATTGTACAATTCAGATTATTTCTTGACAAAAATTAAACTTTTGAATGCCCCCTTTTAAAAATGGAATAAAATAAAACCTCCCCCAAAGGGGTTTTGAATCCCAATACTAATATTCAGGTAAAACAGTGAACCTTCGACATTTTCTGAGAGCAACTTCGGTCTTCAAAAAATGAAAGTGTTACAACTAACATTCCATTTTTTCAACATAATTACATTTAAAATGGATTTCTACACAATAGCTTTTCTTCTGGGGCCAAATTGTACAGTTGCATCAACAGCAGACAACATTTTCATGGCAGATTAGAGGAAGGCTTACTGTCAGCCATTGGCTTAAACCTGATGACCGCCCAGTCCGAGTGCTCATTTTCCCACTGCGCCCTGACCCGTAGCACATAGGTTCCATAAACAGACAGAGAAGAGATGTCGCACTCTGTGACGTTCAGGTTGGTTGCCACATTGGTAAAGTCCTGCTTAGGGAAATTGCTGTATGGAGGAAGGAGGGAAAAAAAAAAATAAATAAATGATGGGTAAACTATAAAATGGACAAAATATCTTTCCTGTCAGTGAACCGGGACAGTGGCATATCTGCTTCTTAATACACCCAGTTATGACTCATGGACAAGGAAAGGTAGATCAAGGTAGATTATTTCTAGTGTATACACACGCATTAGGCACTTCATATATACATATACATTCATGACAGAGAGTCAGAAAATAGAAGCCCTTTTCTTGGCAGTGGTCACAAAGATGTGATTCAGCAGACACTAGGTATTAGACCAGACTGCAAATATTGGACAATACCTCTGTGTGTCTCTTTGCTCTCTAATTGACTTTGCTAGACCCCTCAGAGATGTGTCTAAGAGAGAGCTGGGGAAACAGAGCCTGAGAGCTGACTGGGGACTGTTTAATAAGAAATTATGCTGCTAAGGATGAGAGATCAGAGAAGGTCACAGAATCAGAGAATCACAGAATTGTAGGGGTTGGAAGGGACCTCCAGAGATCATCGAGTCCAACCCCCTGCCAAAGCAGGTTCCCTACAGCAGGTCGCACAGGTAGGCATCCAGGCAGGTCTTGAACATCTCCAGAGAAGGAGACTCCACCACCTCCCTGGGCAGCCTGTTCCAGTGCTCCGTCACCTCACTGTAAAGAAGTTCTTGCGCATGTTTGTGCAGAACTTCCTATGCTGCAGTTTCCGGCCGTTTCCCCTTGTCCTGTCTCCACTCACCACTGAAAACAGTCCGGCCTCGCCATTCTGCCCCCCACACCTTAGATATTTATAGACCTGGATCAGGTCCCCTCTCAGTCTTCTTTTCTCAAGGCTGAACAGACCCAGTTCACTCAGCCTTTCTTCATAGGGGAGATGCTCCAAGCCCTTCACCATTTTTGTGGCCCTCTGCTGGACTCTTTCCAAGAGATCCCTGTCAAAGTCCTAAGGTCCAAGGTCCTAATGCTCAGCAGGATTACAGCTGTCAAACAGCAGGTGATGGCTATGCAGGCAGTGAAGAACATACACGCAGCTCTTAAGAGTCAACTTTAAAATGTGTTTCCAGTTCTGAAGAAGTACATATGAAACTGCTTTGGTTTTGGGCACCTCAGTACAGAAAAGACATTGAGGTGCTGGAGCAGATCCAGATAAGGGCAACAAGGCTTGTGAAGGGCTTGGAGAATATGTCCTATGAGGAGAGATTGAAGGAACTGGAGGTGCTTAGTCTGGGGAAAAGGAGGCTGGGGTGAGACCTTATTGCTCTCTTTCACTATCTGAAAGGTGCTTACAGCGAGAGAGGGGTTGGTCTCGTCTCACTGGAGGCCATTTCCCCTTGTCCTGTCATCTGTCACAAGTTGTGCCAGGGTAAGTTTAGGTTAGATATCAGGAAACATTTCTTTACAGAAAGGGTTTTAAGCACTGGAATAGGCTCCCCAGGGAGGTGGTTGAGTCTCCATCCCTGAAAGCGTTTAAAAACCATTTGGATGTGGTGCTCAGGGACATGATTTAGCGGAGGGCTGTTAGAATTAGGGTAGGATGGTTAGGTTGTGGTTGGACTGATGATCTTTACAGTCTTTTCCAACCTGAGTGATTCTATTCTATTCTATTCTATTCTATTTGCATAGAAAAAATGTCAGCCTTGTTATTCAGCTCAAAAGACAAGCATCTCACAAGCTAAAAGAAAAGGAGAGCTACCAATTTCCCTATAAAAATGGAAAGAAATCAAACATGCACAGCTGTAAAATGTGGATTTTAAAAAACAGTATCACCAAAAAAACCCACAACTCTGCCATACTTACCTTTTGAACTGGACAGTGTAACTTAGATTGCCTCTGTGAACCGGAGGTGGGTCCCATAGTAAAACGCTCCGAAAATTTACTGACTTTATCCTTGCATTTCGGGGCTTGGGCACTATTCCAGACACTGGGAGCAATCAACAACAAACATTTTAGTGTGTGTTCCTCCACTGTCTTTTCAGTCACCCATGACATAAATACAACCCTCCCTTTAAATCTCAGCCTTTAAAATGTTTTCCCAAAACACTCGAGCATGTGCTAGCCACATTCCAACAACTAATTAACCCCTGATGTCTATCATTTGCCTCAAGATTGCGCAACAAAGACAAATCAGCTGGCATCAATGACTTCCAGTAAGTACTGCCTTCACAATAACATCACTTCTGAGCAATGACTGCTCCTGCTTATGACTTGTTGCCTACCAAACTGCCCGCACAAGCTTTCACTGAGATTGCCAGCACTGTTTCTCAGCAGTGCTCCTGTAGTACTAGGGCTAAACATGGATGTGTGGATGATTTTTTATTTATTTTTATTTTTATTTTTTGCTGAAGGGGAGCACAAACCACAGATCCAGAAGGGTTTGGGTTGGAAAGTTCACCTGCCCCAAACCCTGCCGTGGGCAGGGCTGCTCCCCAGCAGCTCAGGCTGCCCGGGGCCCCTTCCAACCTGGCCTGGAATGAAGAAGAGTCTCTCTGCCCAGCACTAAAAGAATGAAACAGAACCTTTACAGATGTCATCACTGCGTGGATTAGTACTGACATTTCAAATGCTTTGTTCGTCCCTTTTAACAGCCGCCCTTCGGAAAAAGGGAGTTAAAGGAGAAGTAGCTTCGAAGACAAGAGATCTATGAAGTATGCCACATGGATAAAGGTGCTATTGATTGGCATGCTTTGTAAGTGATGAGAACAAAACCGAAATTAAGTAAAGGAAGTCCTCAAACAGCACCGGCCATAGTCCATTACTGCTACGACTTAATCATTTTAAAGCAATCGCTGATACTGAAACGAAATGGAAGGGCACACCTGAGCCTCGTATACAAGCCTCACCGGAACGCTGCTCCGACACCACAGGAGCGGAGCCCCGCTCCGCACTCCTTGCCCTCTCGGGTTTCGCGCAGCCCGACTCCCCACGCAGGCCGGGTCCCACCGCCGCCGAGCGCCCCACTGAGGCGCTTCCCCGCCCACCTCACTCACCGCACAGCAGCAGGCAGCTCCAGAGGGCGCCCCGTAGGGCGGCTGCCATGGCGGCTCCCTCCCGCCGTCAGCCGCCGCCTCACGGAGCCGGGCGCTGCCCCAGCAGCGGGGCTGCCCCGCAGCCCTTCCGCACTGCCGCGGCCCGGCGGGGCGGGGCGGGGCGGCGTGGGGAAGGAGGAACCGCAGTCCACAGGGAAATTCCCTCTCCGCGAGGCACCGGTGCTCGAGTTGAAACGCAAGCAGCACCTGACGTTTCCCTGTTGTCGCCCTGTGGAGGGGCCAAGATGGATGTATAAATCTGCAAGTAGTTAACTTGGCAAGATCCGAGCTGGCAAGTAATTGCACCTGCTTAGTTCTGATCTGAAGAAGTAAATACACAATATATTGCAGTAGCGCGTTTTTAGCTGTTGAACTGTTGTATTATGTGATTAGCTTGCAAAACTGTAATGGCTTTTAGATGTTGCATTATGGACTAGGAAGCATGTTGTAGGGCTATTCTGTTTTAAGAGAAGTTCAGCAAAAGAAGCACAATAATGAAAAGACACGAGTAGGCTATCAAACATCAAGTGGAGTCTGGGCCTCCACACAAGGCCAAACTGTTTAATCCGTGAGTACAGTGGGGTGCAATAAGCAGATGTCAAGATGCTCCCCTCTATCCTCCTTATTTTCCAACACCCTGGTATATATCACTAAGCTTGCCAAACTTATCTCTATCCAAGGACGAGCAGATGTTCCGAAATAATGGCTGAGTGAGCAAATCTTACGATTTTGATATCTATAAATTACTTATAATAGGCATCCTCCTACTGAGCGTGCATCAATGAAGAAAGTTCATCTGGAGGACGAGCAAGGAAGACCACTGGATGAAGTAAAATGCTGTCAGTTGGACTGTCATGATGCTAAAAGGACACTAGACTGTAGAAGAGACCATGGAATAGAAGACTGGAAACATCATCAATCACTACCTGAGAGAGGTGTTTATATATTAATTATCTTGCAGGCAATTGAATGCATGCTATCTGTGGAAATATAACAAACTCTGAATCGTGTCAGAGGACTAGAGCACTTCCTCTACAAAGACAGGCTGAGGGAGCCGGGCTTGTTCAGCCTGGAGAAAAGAAGGCTGCAGGGTGACCTCAGTGCAGCTTTTCAGCATCTAAAGGGAGCCTACAAACAGGAAGGGAGTCAACTCTTTGAAAGGGTTGGTAACTGCAGGACAAGGGGAAATGGTTTTAAGTTGAAGGAGGGAAGATTCAGGTTGGATGTCAGGTGGAAGTTCTTTACAGAGAGAGTGGTGAGGTGCTGCACAGGCTGCCCAGAGAGGTTGTGGATGCCCCGTCCCTGGAGGCGTTCAAGGCCATGTTGGATGGGGCCCTGGTCTAGTGTTAAATGTGGAGGTTGGTGGCCCTGCATGTGGCAGGGGGTTGGAGATTCACGATCCTTGAGATTCCTTCCAACCTGGGCCATTCTGTGATTCTGTGATGTCATCTTTGAAGTGCTTATGGTGGAAATATCCCCAATTCCCAGTGCCGCTAATATGGAATCCCTCACTTAATGGTAACAAAACTCAGCTGTGAAGTTTCTGTGCATCAATCTCTTAGAAATAGTACAGCAGCACAATGTGGTACAGCAGCGTAGAGATTACTCTCAGCTCCCCCAGTCAAAAGAATGACTGTCAGACACACCACCAGCCAGAAACTGATGGGAGTAGTACTGAGCAGATCAGCAGAAAGAGTCATATAAACATTAAGAATTAGTACGTAAATACACAAAATTGTATTAAAAAGGTATACTTTTAATGCCTTAATACACAGTAAGAACTCTTGAGTATTCTTTCCTGGGCACTTTCACCTCACATCCCCACACCTCCACAATTTCATTCGATCAGCTTTCTCTCTGTGAATTTAGAAATCAGTTCACTGACTTGAACACAGCACTACCCTTCTGGCTGTGATCCAGCCAGCAACAGGTTACTCTGAAACCTGCACCAACAGAGCTAAAGAACAGTAGCAGAGCCCTTTCAAACTAAAAAGTAGACAGGCTAAAAGGCAGGCTGCTCACATCTCCCCATTCTTTAAGCTAACTCCTCACTTGAGCTTATAGAAAATATTTACTGTGTTACAGCTAAAGCGTATAATACAGTATATAACCACAAAACAAAATAACGACTCCCTTTTTCTGCTACATCCTAACAGTGCTTTTCATTCTTCTGTAGGTAACATAAGCTGAATCATACCCAGAAAGGTCACAGAAATATTTGTTACAAATAAGGCCTGTGTATTTCTGGCACTTAGGCGTATGTTTTCAGAATGTTAAAAAAAAAATTAAAAAAAGATCAGATCTGTATGTTCAGTCCAGAAACAGCTAAGTTAGATAATATCTTTTGGTATGCTACAAATTAACAATGGTTCTCAGTTATTCATCTTCGTATGTATTCGCTTTTTGGGTCCATATCTGAATCCGATGAGTCACTTTCACTGGAAGAACTAGATGAATTTTGCCACACATCAGAGCTGTTTAGATGATGCGGTTTCTGTGTGCTTTCTATGTCATCAAGGAGTTTGGATTCAACAGCATGTGCACACTGCCAGTCAACAGCATCTTCTTGAGAAGAGAGGAGAGCTGCAGAACTATCTGTGGTCTCTTCAGAGATTCCCAGAAGCACAGATTTTAAGTTTATGGTAAAGCAAGCATTGCTCCTTGACCTAAGAGAATAGGTACAATTTGCCTTAGACAAAGGACTGAGTAACTCACTATTAGTGTCTTTCTCTTCTTCAGCTTCCTGCTCGTTTTCTTCAAAGACTTCTGGGTCATCATCTGGATTCTGACTCACCCGGCTGCTACTGTCATCACATGTACTACTTGTAGAGTGCTGCACAAACACATGAGACGTGTCAGAGGACTGAGGTGCTCTACGTACGATATCACGCCTCGTGTAGTCATGGTTACTCATGGCATCGCTGTCACTGTCGTCGCTTTCACTGTCATCTTCGTTGCTGACAGCCCCAATGGATCCTTCTGCCTTTTTTTTAACCTCTTTATAAATGATCTCTACAGAGGCTATTTCTTCAGATTCAAATGTACATGGTAAATAGGTAAGTGTTCTCATGAATACCTAAAAGAACAAATTGAATCAAAAAACAACAGACTATAAGCCAAACTGGCACACTCACACAGAAAAGTCTGAAAAAATACCCCAACCACGAGGTCGTCAAACAAATTATTCTCTTTGTGCCACATTGTCAGCTTTTCTGCAGAGGTCAAGGCATCTAGGACTTTTCCCTCTTCTCCACTCTTGGAAACTGACAGCCCTCAATGCAAGTCAAGGCACACAGCATTGGACAGTACCCTGCCTTAATTATGGACTTATGCAAAATCCTATAACTGAGTGAGCTGACTGAAAATAGCTTAGTATTTGGAGGTGATGCAGGTATTGCTTTCTTTGTGTTTGCCTAAATCCCCTCCTTGAGTAAGTTTTCTTCCAGAGCTATATAGTTCCCTTTTTTGTTGTTTTGGTGTAATTGTCCTGGTTCAGATACATTGCAAGAAATTTATATGCGGTGGGAAAGATTTACATATATGAGGCAATTTTCAAAGGCTAGAAAATTCTCTTATGTGGGGTAGCCTGCTTCTGTGCACCACAAAGAGTTTGTGTGTGTGTGTGTGTGTGTGTGTGATTTAGTAGCCTACAGACTATCTTTGATACAAGCAAACTGCAAATTTAAACACTATATGGACATACATTACTTGTACCTAATACATATACTTAGGAATTTTATATGGCAAGCTTCCTGCTTGAACCAGGAAGGTTAATATGAAAATTACATACCAAAGCATCTGGAAGCAATTTCTTTTGAAGAATATAACCTCCTACATGCATACATTTCAGGATGACAGCTAAGATAAGTGAAAAACATACAGCAACAGCAATTGTGATGCTCTGATAATCTGCAAGTGAAAAAAAAACAAACAAGCGTGAACGAAGTTTTCAATCACCACATTTCATATTTCACATTCAGAACAGCTACTTAGAATCTCAGAATAATTTTGGATAGAAGGGACACCTACAGGTCAAGATGAGTAAATTTCAAGTTAGAATCAGAAACTAGAGAAATTACACCACCTTTGATTTACGCAGTTAGTGCAGATTAGAATCGTGCGTGGGATTAGCAATAGATCTGTAGCCCCCGAATGAATGAGGTTTTATATTTATATTAATATTTGTATTTTTATGAATCCCCATAATGTTTATCACTTTGTAACTACTTTCTCTCTTGGTATTTTTAGAATCGACTCGTAAATCTTCGTAAGTACAAAGGAACCACTGGTACCTAATCAAAGCAGAAAACAATGTCTGCATCACAGCATAGTTACCTTTCTCAGCTACAGAGTCTGTAGTTATGCATTTCCAGGCTGATGGGATGGAATGTTTATTTAGAGATGCAGCGACCATAACAGACACACAGTAATTTCTATTTGGATACAATTCTTCAATGACTGTACTAAAAAGTTCTTCAGTGATTCTCTCAGGTGGCCTCTGTTATGAGAGAGAGTGTTTTAAAGTTAACTGTTCACCTAAAAAGAGAGAATGTGACGTGTGAAACTAGAAAAACTGACACAGTAACTCAGTGTTTTACCTAGGTAATTGCTTCATCTCTTGTTCTAGCTGTCAAGATGCTTACTTTATGCCTAAAAAACTTCCAGTGCAGGCAGTTGGCTCTCTGGCTAGCCAGCTTATTCCAGTGCTGTGCCAGCCCCAGTGCTAATGCCTCCCTTTTTAACTTAAGGTCTGCACAACTGTGAATTTCAGTTCACTATTTTTTGTTACAGGGAATGGATTATCTCCTCTGTTTCTGCAGCAAACTTACACACTCAGAGACTGCAGCCTTTAACTGAGCTTTGCTTGCAAACACTAAGCTGTCCCCCATTATTTCAGTATCTTCTTATGGGTCATAGCTAAGCTCCAATCCCTTTCCCCAATCCCTGTAAGGATACAGGACAACAAGTATTCCTTTCTAGGCCTGCTACACTGCAGTATAAGGAAGTCAAGATAATTTTTTATTTATTCTAAGTATTTTCTGTTCACTTG